AAGGGCATAAAGAGATAAAAAAGGCCATTTCATAATACTAAAGGGAGCAATCCAACAAGAAGAAATAACTCTAGTAAACATATACGCACCCAATATAGGAGCATCCAAATACATAAGAAATCTTCTGGAGGCGATCATGGGAGAGATTGACAGCAATACAATCATAGTAGGGGACTTTAACACCCCATTATCACCGTTGGACAAATCCTCCAAACAAAAAATCAGCAAAGACACATCAATCCTAAATGACTCACTAGATCAGATGGAATTAATTGACCTCTTCAGAACATTACACCCCAAAGTCACAGAATATACATTCTTCTCAAGTGCACGTGGGTCATTTTCAAAGACAGACCATATATTGGGTCACAGGCAAAGTCTCTTCAAATTCAAGAAGATAGAAATCATATCAAGCATCTTCTCAGATCACAATGGCATAAAACTGGAAATCAACTACAATAAAAACAATCAAAAAATCAAACACATGGAGACTAAATACCATGCTATTAAACAATGACTGGGTTACCAAAGAGATCAAAGAAGAAATAAAAAACATCATGGCAACAAACGACAATGAAAACACAACAATCCAAAACCTATGGGACACAGTGAAAGCAGTCTTGAGAAGGAAGTTCATAACTCTACAAGCGTACTGAAAAAAAACAAGAAACAATGAGAATAAATTACCTAACCCTCAACTCAAAGAGTTAGAAAGAGAGCTACAAGAAAAGCCCAGGGTAAGCAGAAGGAAGGAAATACTAAAGATCAGAGCAAAGATAAACAACATAGAGAACAAAAAAAAAATACAAAAGATCAACAAAACCAAGAGCTGGTTCTTTGAAACGATAAACAAGATTGATGAACTTCTAGCTAGGTTCACCAAGAAGCAAAGAGAGAGGACCCAAATAAACAAAATCAGAAATGAAAGAGGAGAAATAACAACAGACCCCACAGAAATACAAAGGATTGTGAAAAAATACTATGAACAACTCTACTCCAAAAAACTAGGCAACCTGGAGGAAATGGACATATTCCTAGAAAAATACAACCTTCCAAAATTTAATCAGGAAGAATCAAAAAATCTCAATAGGCCAATAGCAATGGAAGAAATTGAAGCAATAATCAAAAAGCTTCCAGCAAACAAAAGCCCGGGGCCGGACAGCTTCACAGGGGAGTTATACCAAACATTCAAGGAAGACCTAAAACCTATCCTCCTCAGACTATTCCAAAAAATTCAAGAGGAAGGAACACTTCCAAGCTCATTCTATGAAGCCAGCATCACCCTAATACCAAAACCAGACAAAGACAACACCATGAAAGTGGATTACAGGCTAATATCCCTCATGAACATAGATGCCAAAATCCTCAACAAAATCCTAGCAAATCGGATCCAGCAGTACATCAGGAAGATCATACAACATGACCAAGTAGGATTTATCCCAGGGATGCAAAGATGGTACAATATCTGCAAATCAATAAACGTAATACATCACATAAACAAATTGAGAGATAAAAACCACATGGTCATATCAATTGATGCAGAAAAAGCATTTGACAAAATCCAACGCCCTTTCTTGATAAAAACTCTCAGCAAGAAAGGAATAGAAGGATCATACCTCAACATAATAAAAGCCATATATGACAAACCCACAGCCAACATCATAATCAATGGGCAAAAACTAAAACCATTTTCCCTAAGAACAGGAACAAGACAGGGATGCTCCCTCTCACCACTCCTGTTCAACATAGTACTGGAAGTACTAGCCATTGCGATCAGACAAGAAGAAGAAATAAAAGGCATCCAAATTGGAAAAGGAGAAGTAAAACTGTCCTTATTGGCAGATGGCATGATACAGTACATAGAGAACCCTAAAGACTCCATCAAAAAATTATTCCACTTAATAAATGAATTCAGCAATGTAGCGGGATACAAAATTAATACCAAGAAATCTATGGCATTTCTTTACACCAATAATGAACTTACAGAAAGTGAGACTAAAAAAGCAATCCCTTTTACCATCGCCTCAAAAAAATTAAGATACCTAGGAATAAACTTAACTAAGGAGGTAAAAGACTTATATGCAAAAAACTATAGGACACTGAAAAAAGAGATAGAGGAAGACATAAACAGTCTTCCTTCCTTCCATAAACAGTATTTCCTTCCTTCTGCTTACACTGGAAGAACATACCATGTTCATGGATTGGTAGAATTAACATCATCAAAATGTCCATACTACCCAAAGCAATCTATAGATTCAATGCAATCCCCATTAAATTACCAACGGCATATTTCACAGATCTAGAACAAACGTTCCAAAAATTCATCTGGAATAAAAAAAAAAAAAAAAAGACCTCGAATAGCTGCAGCAATCCTGGGAAAGAACAACAAAGTAGGCGGGATCTCAATACCAGATATCAAACTGTATTACAAAGCCACTGTACTTAAAACAGCTTGGTACTGGCACAAGAACAGACAAATAGGTCAATCGAATAGAATAGTCCCCAGAAATACACCCAAATCACTATGCCCAATTAATATTTGACAAAGGAGGCAAGAGCATACAATAGAGTCAAGACAGTCTCTTCAATAAATGGTGTTGGGACAATTGGACAGATACATGCAAAAGGATGAAACTAGACCACCAACTCACACCATACACAAAAATAAACTCAAACTGGATAAAAGACATAAACATAAGACGGGAAACCATAAAAATACTAGAGGAATCCGCAGACAGTGAAATCACAAACATGCTGAAGGAATTTCTTCTCTGATAATGCTCCTAGGGAAATGGAAACTAAAGAGAAAATAAACAAATAGGACTACATCAAAATAAAAAGCTTTTGCACAGCAAAGGAAACCATCAACAAAACAACAAGATGACTCACTGCATAGGAGAACATATTTGCCAATGATATCACTGATAAGGGTTTAATCTCCAACATTTACAGGGAACTCTTGCAACTTAACAATAGAAAGATAAACTATCCAATCAAAAAATGGGCAACGGACCTAGATAGACACTTTTCGAAAGAGGACATACAGAAGGCTGAAAGACATATGAAAACATGCTCAAAGTCACTAATCATCCGAGAGATTCAAATCAAAACGACAATGCACTATCATCTCACACCTGTCAGAATGGCTATCATCAACAAATCAACAAACAACAAGTGTTGGAGATAATGTGGAGAAAAAGGAACTCTTCTGCACTGCTGGTGGGAATGCAGACTGGTGCAGCCACTCTGGAGAACCGTATGGAGCTTCCTCAAAAAACTAAAAATGGAATTCCCATTTGACCCAGTAATCCCACTTCTAGGAATATATCCCAAGAAACCAGAAACACCAATTAGAAAGGATATATGCACTCCTATGTTCATAGCAGCACAATTCACCATAGCTAAGATTTGGAATCAGCCTAAGTGCCCATCAACAGATGATTGGATTAAAAAACTGTGGTACATCTACACAATGGAATACTATGCTGTGGTAAAAAGAAGGAACTCCTGCCTGGAGAGCATTATGCTAAGTGAAATAAGCCAGTCAGAGAAAGATAAATACCTCATCATTTCATTTATTTGTGGAATATAGAGAACAACATAGACTGATGAACAGGGACAGATCCAAAGACTGAGAAACAGCGATCAGACTACTAATCCCCAGAGGGAAAGTAGGGGAGGGAGGGGGCAAGGGGAAAAGATCAACCAAAGGACTTGCATGCATGCATATAAGCCAAATGGACATGGACAACAGGGGGATGAGAGAATGAGTGGCGGGGGGGGGGGGAGGACGAGGTTTTAATGGGAGCGATGAGGACACATTTGTAATACCTTAACTAATAAAGAATTTTTTAAAAAAAGAACTACCACCATAAGATCCAGCAATCCCATTTCCAAGTAAATATCCCCCACCCACCCCCAAAAAAGAAATCTATTTTCAAAGAGATATTTGTTCTCCCTTGTTTACTGCAATATTAAAACTACTAAGATATGGAAACAACCTAACTTACAATCAATGGATAAGGAAATTGTGGCAAATATATACAATGAAATTTATTGAGCCATAAACAAAAGGAAATGCTGTTATTTGTCACAACATGGATAAACCCAGTGGACATTATGCTAAGTGAAATAAGCCAGACAGAGAAAGACAAATGATCTCACTTATATGTGAAACATAAAAAAGTCAAACTCTTAGAACCAGAGAGTACAATGGTGGTTTCCAAGGGTTAGGGCATTGGTGAAATTCAGAGATGTTGTTCAAAAGGTACAAACTTTCAGTTATAAGTTGAGTAAATCCTAGAGATCTTATGTACATCATGATATTTACAGTTAATATTGCTATTGTATACTTGAAATTTGCTAAGAAAGTGGGTCTGAAGTTTTCTCACCACACACACACACACACACACACACACACACACACACACACTATGTGAGGTGAAAAAAAAATCACTGAAGATATTCTATAATGATGATTTATTCATCTATTTATTCCAAGGCATCTAACCCTCAAATATCAAAAATCAGCATCAACAGACAATGTGAGTGTCACTGTAATCAATTCATTTTAATCTTCCACCAACCAGTGGGGAGAAGGGGGTTTTCTCAACTAAAAAGTAGGAATTTACTTATTGGAACATACCCGGTTCCTATGCAATTTTAAATAATGATGTTTATGAATAATAAAATATTTAATTATACTTTAGTTTCCCACCCAATCATACTAAAAAGAGTAACTGAAATATAGCTAGTATGACTAAGAAATTGTTTTTTTAATTAAATTGAATTTTAACTTTATTAGCCACATATGGCTAGTGTCTATGTATTAAATAGTAACAATTCAAACTATTAAAATTTTCAAATAGGTACAAACTGACTAGACCTTCTGATTTAACTTAGCAGCTCTACACATAGTATATCTAAAACCTTATCTTACATTCATTATTAATTACATACCCACTCTTGTTTTCAATTTTATTAACTCATATTTTACTTACTTGGGCTTAAATAGCATGACTTTCGAAGGTTGTTTAGATTGTCCTTTAAGCCGATTTTTCAGTGCTTCAAGTTTTTGCACGTGCTTTACTACTTGTGCAATGTTTATAGTGACTGCTTTATCAGGTATTGGAAACTCTACTTCTGAAAAACTTTGATCTTTACTTATCTAAAACAACAAAATTAACAAAGTAATTAGGAAATAACCCATTTTGTTCTCTTATCTCAAAGAAATGTCATTGTTTCATTTATTGTATCTAAATACTTTATATTATTCCTATCCATAGTTATAATCAAATACTAATATTTTACAAAATACTGATATGAGAAATTACCTAGCAACATAATAACAGCTAAGTGTTGACTTTTACATGTCAAAACTCAAATCCAATATTCTTATTATTTTAACATTTAAGAATTTCAAGCAAGTGCAATAACAATTGTAGCAGCATTAAATGCAATTCAAATTATTGACAAGGAAATTTAAAGCAATCACTTCCTCAAAATCCATTCTAAGAATACTATTATTGTGATAAATTATGGAAAGACACAATAATTTGTTGTCAAAGACTAATATCTTCTACTACTGACTCTGAGAAGTTAATATATAAAGGTCTATAGAGCTGGCATGCCTCAGTCTGCATGGGGAAGACTGAGAACCACTTGGTTGTTCAAGCCTTTTGGAATATACCAAGCTACAGAGTAATGAACAGTTGAGAGAATCAGCAAATCCCACTATATAAGACTAGAGACCCAGTGCACGAAATTTGTACATGGGGAGGAGAGTGGGCCCACAGGGATTGGGCCTAAGCCAGCAGTTGGACATCCCTCTCGCAATTTGGGACCTCTGGCTCCTAACTGCTCACCTGCCTGCCTGCCTGATCACCCCTAACCCCTCTGCCTGCCTACCTGATCATCCCTAACTGCCTCTGCCTGCCTAACCACCTAAGCACCCTAAACGCCTATAACTGCCTCTAACTGCCTGATTGCCCCTAACCGCTTCTGCCTCAGCCCCGGCCACCATGGCTTTGTCTGGAAGGACATCCGGAAGACATCTGGTCTATCTGGTCTAATTAGCATATTACCCTTTTATTAGTATAGATGACAAATGATAATCGGTATTCTAGGAAGTAAGTCTATTTAAAGAAATTTCAGCAAGAATGAGTGCTCAAAAAAACACAATAAAAAAAAAACCTAGGTACAGACATAAGCAAGAAAAGTAACAGTGAAATCAGAAACCTTTGATAGGACCTAGCAAAGAGAAAAGTAAAAATCCAGGCTTCACTACTGAATTCTAGCATTGGGGATTTAAGAGTCTTAATTTCAGTAATGGCTATTTGGATTGGGATTAGGCTATAAACATCACAAGTAAATATGGGGCTATTTATTCTAAGTCTGAGATTGGGAGATGCAGAACAAATGGAAAGGAAGCAGAAAATGTATGTAAACTCTATGGACAAAGGCAAAATCATAAAGAAGAGGACAACAATCATAAATTGCGCTAAAAAGTGGTGTAGCAATCAGCTACACTTATCAATTTACTGTCTCTCATCTAAAATCCATTCTTCATTGTCGTGCTTATAATGAATGTTTCTCTTTTGACAGGTGGCATGAAGGTAAACTTTGTTAGTAGAGGGTTATAGGCACTAGAAAAAAAGAGCTTTTCTTTTTAGTTTTCTCTCTCTCTCTCTCTCTCTCTCTCTCTCTCTCTCTCTCTCTCTCTCTCTCTCTCTCTCTCTTTCCAGTCCTAGAGCAGTGTACCGTATATACTTAGCTCAACAGGACCACCCCCATGGGTGGCTTCCAGCAAGGTCCCTGGTATGGTACAATCCCAAAACTGCTTATCAAAAGACACCACCAATACAAAACCTCCTTTGGGAAGCTTTCTGGCATACCAGCCTGTGGATAGCTTCCTAGCAAGAAGTGCAGCACCTCCCTAGAAGATGGTTTCTCCCAGCACCACAGATGATGGCTTTCCAGTATACCCAATCCTATGTGCAGCTGCCTAGAGTTCCAATTCCACCACCATGGCACCCCAACAAACTTCTTGCCATCTGATGATAACAACTACTCCTTCACAAGATCTGAATCAGCCCTGGATTAATGTGGGGTGACGGGGGGGGGGGGGATGGGTACTCAGAGTTGTTCTTTCCTTGAGTGATAATGCTTCAATTCTAGAGGTAGAGGCTGTTCTCTATATCTTCTATCCCTGTATTCTCTAGAGGTTTTTTTTAACCTTTTCTTGCAGGTATTCTGTTTTAATAATTTTCTGGGCTAAACGTCCCTATTCAGATTACTGTGTCATTTTTGTCTGTTGATTTGACCCTAATTGATACATTATATTTCCCAATAGGGATTAAATTTAAACATAAGTCTTTTCTGGTAGAAAAGATGATGTCACAAAACTAAGGAAATATGGACAAGACAGTGGAACTGTCAGCTATTAGACTTCATCAAAGAGATCTGGAGGGGACAGGTTCGAGCACAACTCTGAAGCATATAGGCTACATGCTTATACATTTCTCCAGCAAAGCTCGCCATACACTCTGAAGGCTTCAACATGCATCTCTGTTTTTGCAACAAAACCACTGCATTAACCACACTAGCATGTACTAACAATAAAATGTGTCAGCAATATTAACAAAATTATTCCAAGATCCTCAAATGTTAACATGCATCATAATCCTCTATGAGAGTCTATTAAAGGAGAAGATAACCTAACCAACACACAACAACAAAACTAATTCAGTAAGTCTGATTTGGAGCTCTGAAATGTGCATTTGTAATAGGTATCTTAGGTGATATATAAACATGGTCCATCAATTATACTTTAAGAAATATTCATTGAAAGGCTCAAGATAATACAAATACTTAGAGAATGTGATCATATACACTTAATTAAGAACATATCAAGTAATTGTGGGTTGAAACACTGAAAAACTTGGAATCCAAAATCAGAAGTTTAATTGTATACTGAAAATTCCTCCCAGTGGGTATGAATTCATAACTCAGGATTTTAAGCATACTATAGATGATGGATACTGGCACAAAGATGTAACCATTAGATACAGAGTAAAGTTGACACATTTGACAGCTATTTAGAACATAAAATTAAAAAGATACAGATTTACCCAGTTGGATAGTATTACTACCACTCACTAAGACAGGGAACACTGGAAGAGGGATGAGTTTAGTAGAGGGAAATTTTATTTTGATCTATTGGGCTTAAGGTAGAATGATTTAGTAGGTTAATTAGACACATGTCTGTAGCTCATAGCAAGAGTTGTATATTTCTAAATTATTATCAAAGATAATAATTGATAATACTTGAGTGGAAAAAAAGGGGATGATTATCTAGGGGGGAAAGTTTGAAACAAAAAAATTTAAGAAAGGCAGGATGAAATCTTGAGGCACTCCAGTATTTAATTGTTAGATAAAGGTAACTTTAAAAAAGGAGACCACCAAAGAGGTAAAAAAAAAAAAAAAAAAAAAAAGCCTGGAAAGTATAATTCACAAAACCCAAAGAAATAGTTTTCTACAAATAAGGAAGTAATCAATAATATTAACTATAGCCAATGTAAATAAAATTGCCTATTGAATTAGCAACATACAAAGAGAATTATGTATAACTAGAGGCCTGGTGCACGAATTCATGCATGGGTGGGGTCCAGCCGGCCTGCCCCAATTGAGGCCAATCAGGGCTGGGCTGACCAGGGGGAGGGGCTATAGGCAGTTAGCTGGCCGGCTCCGCCCTTAATTGGGGGGTAATTGGGGACGAGGCCTGCCAGGGGGAGGGGCCACAAAGGTTGACCAGCAGGGAGGACCGCAGGAGGTCAGCCAGCCAGCACCGCCCCGATAGGTTTGGGGGCCAATTGGGGCCTCAATGCACATCAAAGCAACTGGTCATTCTGGTCATTCTGGTTGTTCCAGCATTCCAGTCATTTGGCTTTTATATATATAGACTAGAGGCATAGCACACGATTAAATCATACATGTGTAGGGCCCCCTAGGCCTAGCCTGCCATCATGGCCATGTCCGCCACCCCACGACTCCTCACACACTCCGCAGATGCTTCTGGCACCCCACGACACTCCCCTGATGCTGCTGGCACCCCAGGGGGTTGGGGGGAGGGCCCAAGAGGAAAGTCCATACTGTTTTCTACAATGGCTGCATCAGTCCACTTTCCCACCAACAGTGTACCAGGGTTCTCTTTTTTACACATCCTCACCAGCACATGTTTTTTATTTGTTCATATGCATTGACAGGTGTGAGGTGGTAGCTCACTGTCATTTTAATTTGCATCTCTCAGAAGATCAGTCAATTTGAGCATTTTTTCAAATGTCTCTTGGCCTTCTGTATGTCTACTTTGGGGAAATGTCTATTTAGGTCCTTTGTCCATTTTTAAACTGGATTGTCTTCCTTTTGTTAAGTTGTATGAGTTCCTTATATATTTTGGATATTAACCATTTATCAGATATATCATTGCAAAATACGTTCTCCCAGACAGTGAGCTCCCTTTTCATTTTGTTGATGATTTCTTTTCTGTGCAGAAGCTTTTTATTTTGATGTAGTCTCATTTGTTTATTTTCTCCTTAGTTTCCTTTCCCCTAGGAAATGTATCAGTAAATATATTGATGAGATGTCTGAGATTTTGTTGCCTATGGTTTCTTCTAAGATTTTTATGGTTTTACAACTTACACTTAAGTCTTTTATCCATTTTTATTCTTGTGTATGGTGTAAGTTGGGAGTCTATTTCATTTTTTTGCATGTATCTGTCCAATTTCCCCAACACCATTTATTGAAGAGACTGCATTAACTCTGTTGTGTACTCTTTCCTACTTTGTCAAATATTAATTGAGCATAATGGTTTAGGTTAATTTCTGAGGTCTCTGTTCCGTTCCATTGACCTATATGCCTGTTCTTCTGCCAGTACGAGGCTGTTTTGAATACAGTGACCTTTTTTTTTTTTTTTTTTTTTTTGGTCCCATATAAATTTTGGAGTCCTTGTTCTAGATCTGTGAAATATTCTGTTGGTATTTTAATAGGAATTTCATTGAATCTATAGATTGCTTTGGGTAGTATGGACATTTTACTGATGCTGATTCTACAAATCCTTGAACAAGGTATATTCTTCCATTTGTTTATATCTTCTCTCTTTTTTTCGATGTT